CATGCTTCGTAAAGAACTAACGGAAGATAGGCAACGTCGTAGTGCATCCGTCTCCAGGAAGAACCATTTGAAACATCCTGTTTTTTCGTAATCCCTATTTCTTGTAATTTCTGTAGCAACGTCTACACTTGACGGATTACCGCAACACATAAGTTCGACAGTTACTGTCTTCCACGCTTTGCAAGACGATGCCACTTTTATAAACCGGGCTCCTCGTCATTATGTTCGAAACAAACACATGTCGCTAATTCAGTCTGAATGCTGATAATACTTAGAAAAATAAATATGTACTTTAGAAAATGATGGAAAACTGCGTCGGATGATGGGAATCTTAGTCCACGATTAGATTACTGTAACAGTTAGCCTGTACAAACAGAAGAGAGGCGCAGAACGTTGGACTCAATATTTCTCGAAACGATTCAGCGATATAACTTGGCAGTATTGCTGTTAGGAAGTTATATAATCAATCAGTTTAACACGTCACTGAAGTTGTAATGGCCAATATTTGATGATTGTAATGAAGTTTCAGGGTCAGACAGATTTTTGCACATTTATAATGTTTTTTGATGAACTGACACCATGGGATTGTCTTCGGTAGCTGCATATCGATCCGTACCTCATAGATCTTGATGCTATGAACTATTTCGTTTATTGTCAGTGTTGTTTGCCGATTGCCTCAAACGTATATGATCCTTGTGATTTTGAAGTCACGCTGTTGTTCACTGTTAGCACAGTATAAATTCTATAGATAAATAGATGATTGCAGATATACAAGAATGTCCATTGGTAATTATTTTGGTTTTAATTGACCCCTCGATTCTGCAGCTTGAATCTGTAGATGATGATTTAAATTATGCCTATACCTACACATTTTTTATGAGGTTACCACTGGCTTGGTTTAGTTTTATACCTGACGATCAATGTCATTTAGGGTGCTGTCCAATGTGAACTTCGATGCGAAATTCGCCAAGCTACCAGAGTTCGACCCTGACGAATGCGAGTCGTCTCCACTGCCCACGACCCCGATGCAAATAGTCAAGTCATACTTCGACAAGCAAAAGCAAGGTGGTAAGTTTGTTTAGTTGCTTTACTTTAATTGTTTCATATTTGCTTCGGCGCGGCTGTTTCTAGCATGGCATTTGAAAGCTTTATTATCTCACAAATGAGTTTCGGAGGTTTTATTGCTCTCTCAGATTCAAAAACAGATATGGTAACTTGTGGCGACAAATATCATATGCATGGGCATCGATACTTGGCAGAGGTGATCCTCGTAAAATTCGAAGAAAGATCAGTCAGGAATGTCAAAAATTAGATTTAGATTAGACCATTTATGCCATTTTTACGCATATATGATAGTTGGTAACCATTTGGATGTCGGTCTCCCTTACACTGTGGTCGGTTTTGTTTATGACATCATATTTTATGGGCTTTATGGTACTTAAATGATAATCAATCAGCAATGCTTTAACTTTGAAAACATCGTCTACTGTTGTTTTCGCCTGTGTGTTTCCTTTCTGTTAGTCTCAATAGAGCGAACGATTGATTCAGGATTCGAGTGTATTACACAGAACTTGATTGCTGATTGCAGAGGAACGATAGTGCAGAGTTTCAGTGATCGTTCTCTGGCTATGAAATTTATTCCTAATATCTTTTCCCTACATTACTATAAAAAGCTATAAAAAGTTTTTATCATTTTAATATACTTCCTGAAGATAGTAAGGTTCGTTAAGTAAAGTTGGGTTGGGTAAAGTAAAGTTGGGTGTTGTTTATTTTGTACATAAGTACATGAATGGTCAAATCATGCTCATTTTAAAATAGCATCCTCGTCTATTTAGACACTTTTTCTCTATAAATTAACCATCGTGCATTTCGCCTCGCTAAGTTTCTTAGTTACCTTTCCAAGCACGCTTAACAAGCATTCGATTTCGATTTCAGTTGCGCTGTTTGAAATAGCGTCTGATAAATGATATTGGTTTGAGTAACAAACTGTTTTTTTCAGGTGTTTTAGATGACAGTCACAAGCCGATAAGCCCACCGGTCAAATCTGGCCCTAAAACTCCCAGCCGGCGAGGCGGAAACATCTTCTTCGGTTCCAGCTTCAACTCGGACATGCTGACCGACTCGTTTGCGACGAAGAAAGGTCAGCTTTTATCTTCCAGGTTTTTGAGTTTCGATTATCGGATTTAGAGTTCGAAAGCGACACTTCCCCACTCTGTTCGCCAATCACACCGAAGACACCGCTGGAGAACTGGGAAAAATCCAGCAGTCGCAAACTTCTCGACGAGCGTCGCCGCCTCGTTGTAGAGTTGCTCGAAACGGAGGGAATGTTTCCCACAGGTAGGCGAACCTAGTGAAATCGCCGCCCATTGCATGTCAGTGATAATGGCGCAGGTGAAGAGTATGACTATGTGCTCCTGACCAAAAATGAAACCGTGCGAGAGCAAACATGGTTGTATGTTGCGGCTTAAGCGGTATCAGCTTCTCACTGTTCTCGAGGTACAGCATGGAACTTAAAATCAAAAGGTCCGGTCTTGGAACTCGACATTCTTCCTGTCGAGGTTGCAAAGGAAGCATGAGACTATATTGTGCCTTTTGAAAAGCACAAAATGTTAAAGTAAAAGAAAAAACGCCCCTGACTGATCGCATAGAAATGGAAATAAGCGACCAACCATTGGCATTATAAATAAAAGGAAGCCAGAACTTGTTTCCTCACTGTGGTGTAAGGAAAACGACATTTAACGGTTGCAAACTTTCCTATAGTTTTTTCTCTTAGTCGTACTATTGGTTAAGAGATCAGTTCATTAGTTACCTAACACGTAAGGAACAGGTGATTTTATTATGTATCGAAAAATTATCTTAAATATGAACTGCGAGACCGGTTACGACGCCATTCGATTCGTATGGCACTCATCTACTTTAAATGGCCCGGTCTGTAGACCGTGGTAAAAAAATATATTTAAGAAAAATTTTATTTTTGCACCATGTTGCCAAGGTTCATCAAGCTACGGCAGTTGTTCATTTGTACTCAGGCTAATCGCCTGCCGAATAGCTTATTATCATAGAATGGCTCCAAATGATTTATCAGACACATTCATCGGTACGGCTATTTTACTTCATTTCTCAGGCATACTACTGGGTTCCGTTCTTTGTGACTTAATGATGAAAAAAATCACTTGGTAACATCTGCGTCCAGATCCAAGGCAGACCGGCATGAGGCTTGAAGAAGGCGTCAGACATTGTGTACCTCTTCCGTTAAACATTGTTTCCCTATGATAAACAGTGGATGCGGTGTATCTTCTACTCCCGTTGATGCTATTTGTGTCCTCATAAGTTTTTGGTATCTCATCAATGTATTCTAGTCGTCATCTTCATCAATCTATTTTGAATGCTTGATGAGACTTTTCCAGCTCTTTGCCATACACTTCTCTTTTCTGTGAATCCTGTCTGATTTTATATAGCGAATTTCTTCCGCCCACCCTACGATCAATCTGGACGCTTTCGAACTGGAGGTTTACTGCCTCTTGGAACCCAGGCTAATGTCTTTGGTCCAGCAGTGGTCGGTGCCCATTGCCGTTTAAATCTCTTTGTTCTTGCATGACATCTGAGCAGATTCCCATTAATGCTCTTACGCATTCGTTCGTCTTTATATTAGTTTTTGTGTTTCTCAACAGATACCTTTCTATGTTGTGTTGTTGCTTGTACTTTTTGAACAGCTTTTATGCTTATGGTTCGTGTTTCGCATCTATAGGTTAGCCCGGGGAAGACATAGTGATCGGCACTTTCAGTTCAAGCACACTTGCACTTTTCCGGATATTTACATTAATCTGCGCACATAGTTCTGCATGATGCATCGTCGTAATGCTTAAATCAAATTTACCAAATTTTCTAGCGCAAGCCACTTCCAGCTTTCAAGCGAAGCACTTCGAGATATTTCCCACCAAGCAGATACTTCAGCTGAAAATTCGTGAAGTCCGGCAAAAAGTGATGGCTTCTGTCCAGTCACCAGTGACCACTCCGTCGGCTAGTGGTTCAGGCGTGTTGTTTTCTTCGACTGCAGCATCAGCGAAGCCGTCCCAGACATAACGCTGCTTTTTTTACCATGCAGTGTTCAAAGCACCTTACCAATGGACGACACATGTTCTAATTGTTGTCTTTAATCATTACTGGCAGTCTTCGACAAACCGACCGATCGACAAACGCTTCATTTTTCAGAAAGCGGCCGGTCCGTTGCTGCTGTCGTCGTACCTGGCTTGAATGGGAACTATTCTTCCAGATGTGATACGGGGACAGTCGGTCGGTGTGTGACCTCCTTACAGACTTATCCAGCGCGAGGCAATGCCACGTCAGATTCCATATATGCCGTTGCCGTTCACTTGCATTACCGTTATGTGTACGCAGAGCACTTGTATTTTTATTTTGTATATCAGTTCGTTCAGAAGGTTGATGGTACGCTCTTACCTAGGTTTTATGCTAGTCATAAAGTTCGATCCCTGTTTTCATACGTGTTGAGAGATTGTCATTCATTTTGCTGCTCATATACAAATGGTCAACAGCATTATTCCGTTTTTGTGAATAAAATATTTTTCTACTGATATTCAAAATATAGAAAGTTGAATAGGCTTAACTTCACTGATCATCAACAGAGGCTAAACAAGATCATGGCACTTACTCTGAATATGATATTTTGCTGTTTCGCATAACTTTCTCACTGATATAAACATTCGCTGACCTACGTTGCTGAACCTGTAACAAGGTTTTTTTATATGATGTGCTAAAGCTTAAAAGTAGGCACTAAGAGTTAAATTTTGTAACTTATTTCATATCTTTACAGTGATTATTCTTCCTCAATAATTTATTTGAAACAAGTTATTTAACATTTACTAGCAATGATTAGGCATTGAAACAACTTCCATTATATCAATTTTCACTAAGCTGTCGGATTCCTAGAGCAAATTTTACCCGCAATGCGAACCCCTAAGAAAACAATACAGAATGACTTCCACGATTTGGCATGAATAAACCAAACCACCTGCTGTCTATTATTCCAGATACAATGGTCCTTTACTGTTTTTGGATTCATTACACAGAATTTCAATGGAACCAATCGTTTCTCAAAGGAGCTCAAGGCGAATCAGCCAACGTTTACGCCCCTCGTAAGGTTTTAATCTCTTCCTCGACATAGACTACAAAGCAATCATTTGCTTCCTTACAAAACTTTCTCCGCCATCGTCACATGCAAAGTGCCACGTAGATGCCAAATTACGCCAGGTTAATGGTTAAGGTTAAATTACGCAAGGTTAAGCAGTTAATCCTTGTGATTCTGCCCCGGCGGTCTTTATACAAATCAACATCGCAGCCAAAGGCCAACCACACTTTTCATATAACGGCCATTGTGAAAAATACCAGATCACTCAACAGCTCGCCCGCACTTAGTCGCCCGTACACGCACAAAGTGTACTCGTTGTACCGCATGCATTAACTTATCTCACCGTTTTGTTGGCCTCTATAGGTCATCTATCTATCACTGTCAGTCTAGCAGAGGCAGGCGGTCAGTGCGGTCGTTTTCGTAGAGCAGCTCACTCAAGGCGAACTTGAATATGTGAAAACCACCAATCTCAAACACATGCTGGATGATCCAGCTACCGATCAAAGGTAAGCAATCGTTTACCTATTGTTTCAGTCGTCTGCTATTTGCAACATTGCCATGAAAGTTAGCCTACTGTTCGAAGTTTTAACGACGCCCATCGAAGTGATTGTTGCTTATACTGCAAAAAGTGCAATTTTGTCTTAACGTGATGACCACTTTTACGAGGTCAGTCATGAACCCCAGTTAGTTATGGTTCAAATCGACTCAAATTATAGCTTTTGGTTCTGAACCAAGAAATGACAACACACTGCTTAACCCATCCGCTTCTGAATAAATGACGTTGCTCAGGTTATACTATAGAGGGCGAGAGTT